GGATGAAGGACATCCTTTGGCCGAGCAGGTCGCGGTTAAACAGTCGCAACTGGACAAGCTATATGCCGGACTGAACGATTTGGCGCAAGAACGACGCGCTAAGCTGGATGAGGCCTTCCAGCTCTTCCTGCTCAACAGAGTCGTTGGCGACTTGGAGCAGTGGATAGCTGATCGAGTGGTGGCCTCTTCTCATGAATTGGGCCGAGATGCTGGTTCTGTTTCTTCGCTGCAGCGCAAATATCAGAACTTCATGCAAGATCTACAGACGCTTCAGAACCAAGTGCAACCGATCCAAGATGAATCGGACAAGCTTCGAGCCAGCTATGCGGGTGACAAAGTTAACGAGATCACAAATAGAGAACAAGAAGTGGTGTCTGCATGGGCCCGTTTGCAAATGGTTTGCGAACAGCGCAAAGGAAAACTGGCCGATACTGGCGATCTGTTCAAGTTCTTCCGATAAGTTGAAAGCTGAAGAAAGAGTTTGATACTCGGCCATCCACGGTACATTATAATTGGTGACTGTTAGTTGAAGCTGGTGGATAACTACACATAGCTTGGCCATAAAATACAAATCACGAGAGCCAACCAAACATGCAAATTAAAGAGAAGAATTATGCACGCTTGGACTGCGTATGGCGGAATTGGAGCGGTATTTGAAAGTGTCTCAATTGTCCCAATTTGTCTAAAACGAAAAGTATTTAATCAGTGCATTCTACCGGTTATGGCCTACGGCGCCCAAACTTGAACTTTGACAGTCAAATCTGCTAAGAAGCTCGAACAGCATAACGCAAGATGGAAAGACTGATGCTCGGCGTTTCGCTTCGTGACCACGTCAGAAATGTGAACGAGCGATAGGAGTCACGGATGTTGTATACCAGATGGCTAAGCTAAATTCCTGACAGATGGACGATGAACAAAAAAGTTAATCGAGTGGAGGCCAAGAGAAACAGTAGAAGAGCTTCCACGCGATGGGCGGACCATATGAAAATAATTACCGCAAACTGGATGCGGAACGCTCAAGTTAGAGGACAGTGGACAAAAATGGGGGAGGCCTATGCATCATTGGATAAATAAGTTATTTCATCTTCTATCCAGTGATAAAAACACGAGCATACGTTTTTTTATCAAATGGCGTAAACAAATTTTAGGAAAAAATATCTAATAATTTCCGTCGTTCCTATCACACTATTGTTACTCTCATGCCCCTTTTGGAATATGCGGACTGGTTTGGCATTTTACATATTTTTTGGATTAAACAGCATTTCAGACTCATGTAAAATGCATGCCAGAGGGCTCAGAAATGTCGCCGAGTAGTCAGGTGCGAGAAAATAGTCTACCGTCTGAGCCTTTTGACATCGTGGTTTTGATATGGAATTGTCCCGCTAGATAATTGAGATACCATTAAGTAGTTGAGGATAGTGATAGCAGCAATAAAAAGTTGATTCATTCATTCAATTACAAACCTTCCTTTGCTGTTTTTTAAGGATTTGCTTGTCGTCGTCCTTCCATTTGGCATCCTCCAACTCTTTTTGTCGCTTGGAAGTTTCCTGCTCCTGTGCGATTTTCTTGCGTTCTCTCGCTGCTACAGCTTTCGAGTTTTCGGTGGGAAACTTTTTTGGCATTCTTTAAAATTTAATAATGTTAATAGGAAAACTAAATGTTGACCTTTTTGTTTTGATGGGAAGGTTTCTAGAGTGTAGGAAGTAAGGTAATAGTATGTAGTCTGTGGTAAGGTTATAATTTATAGTTCAGAAGTACAGAGCCAACCTCTAAGAGCGGCAGAATTGGCATCATCGTAAAGAACCAAATTATAACTATAGAAACTATGCAAAGTAATGCAAAGGATTATCATCATTAAATTAGATTAACTATTAATTTATGATTTAGAACAGGTTTATTGAGATGTATGTTAAACACTGACGCACTTTTATCAAAATTGAGAACTAGTTCAGAGAAAATATTGTATTGGTAAAGTTTTGCCGGCCACAAGTTCGCCATCGTGACATCACTGTACACGTCGTGCACTTAACCCCATAGCATGCTTGTCTAACCTTTAAAAACCCGTCAACCACCCGTCAACTTTGAAATCTTTTCAGTGTTTATGTTGTTATTTTCAATATTCATGCGTTGATACACGGCAATACTCTCAAATTAAAAAGCTAATGTTAACTGTTGATCGGCCATCCGCTAGAGATGATTGAAATCCGTTGAATTAACTGAATTTGGCAACTATATCGGATATGTTCACATCAGTTACGTGTTATATTACGAGTATTTAAAATAAGGTCCCAATGAGACCATAAGCAATACAAGACAGACTTAGATGTACTAGATGCTGAGAAATACATTGATACGTATAAAATTTATTAGCAATACATTTCACAATATGCCGAAGAAATCCAAAAACAAAGTCAGCAAGGGATCGACTTCTTCAACCAAGGATGCCCCAACCATTAAACCTGTGAGCATTTTCCCCTAAACACAGTTATGCGTGCATTATGCTTACATGTTCTTCAATTTAATTATTTTGATATATCGGACATTTCGGAAATTAAAACCAAATCAACTTGGTACTTACTGAGCTAATATGTATATTTTAACATCGGAAACTAATACAATTCTACCGTCATAGGTACAAGGCCCTATCAAAACTGATGCAGATAACAACATCCTTATTGAAGTGCATGCGAAGCCAGGAGCAAAACAAAATGCTATTACAAGTATTATAACTACTTAAATTGACCAAATTCACAGCTTAGTCTCAACATTTTTACAATTTCCAGATGTTGATGATCAAGGCGTTAACATCCAAATCAATGCTCCGCCAGTTGAAGGATCTGCCAATGTTGAATTAGTTAAATATATGGCATCACTTTTGGGGCTCAAAAGCAGCAATGTGTCTCTTGAAAGAGTAAATATAGATAAATATCTACTTACAGACAACAGCAATATTACGACCCGCTTATTGCAGTCTTATTAAATTATTTTACAAAGGCTAATGTATTATAATGTATTATGATGGACAGGATGGTGAAGTTTCACTTTAACTTGGCTAAGTCTAGAATGCAATATAATAATCTAAAATCGGCTGCCAATCTAGAAACTAGAAGCTCCTTCTCTTGTGTTTCATGTGTTCCTCATAAGATATGTTTTGAAATTGTTATAATGACACCTTCGTTTGAAAATAGCCAATAGTGCTTAAATAGTTTTACCGTTCTTAATGGCGAATGATTAATAGTAATATGTGTTGTCGAAAATTTATCTGAAACCAAAATATGGGTTTTCAGAGAATCTGGCAAATGAATTAGGAATGAAGGAAATCGAGTAAAAAATAATAACATCATGTTATATAATACAAAATTCTCTGAGAATATCCTAAGGAGTACGTAATACAAGAAAGCGGACGGAAACATTCGTACCTAAGTGAAGGGTGTCCCCCACATTTTCATTAAGTTTTCCTATTGATAATAGTTCCAATCTTTAGTTATTGCATATTGTTAGTTGCTGTTGTCGATTAGACTCAGAACCCAATCAGTAGTGCTTTTAATTTTTCCATTTTTTTTTTAAATTATCACTAATTGTGAATTACTAATGAACGACTAATTAACTGAATGGACAATAATATTCAGTTAAATGAAACCCATTTTTGTTTTTTAATTTTATCTGTTTGTCTTAATACTACATGCTAAGTATCACTGAAATATCAAACGCGTTTCCGAAATTATTTTTAATTTATCTATTTCGCCTAAAATTTAAATGTATTATCATCAAATTTGTATTAATTTTTCATGTAGAGTTACACCCTTAAATATTAGCAAGTCATCAGTGAAAACCCTGTACACAGTTGGGAATGTACAAATATAAAATGTGATTAAAGAATCAAAACAGTGATATAAGCCTTGGACCCCGTAAATTGAACATTTTCCGTTTTATTTTTAGAAGACCAAGAATACTGGTACTTTCCAAACTATGCTTGTTTACATTTACTAATTGTTTCAAGTTAAGTGGAAGCTAGTTGTGTACCAGCTGTTATTATCAAATGAATGGTTATAATGCAATAGAATTAAATAACATTGGTCTATCCACCTGCATAGGTAATAGTTTCCACCTTCTGCCGACCTAATATATCAAACTTTTCAGGGCCATAAATCGAGAAACAAAGTGTTGAAGATATCAGCAAACATCACGCTGGATGAAGTAACTAAGAAAATCAATGAAAACTTGCCCGCGGAAACAAAGTGACTCCTATTGACAGGTAATAATTATAGTTATTAATATGCATTGTGGACTGACTGAAGCACGCTAAGTAATGATAATGAGAGGTTGTGCGACTCATAAAAGATTAAGCGATACATTTTTTATTTTTCTAAGTTATACAGTGACAAACCCACAAGATAATCGCGTTGGTAACTGCATAAAATATTCTTACAATACTGCCAATCTTAAGCTATCAATGATCAGTTATGACTGATATTTGCACTAAATAATCTTGCTCCTTTCCAGTACGGTAATTGTTGACATTTTCAGTCTCAACTGCTATTCAATCTTCAGCAGCCCTTTCTTGGCAGCCCCTTCAGATATCTGTAGATTTTTTGACATTCTCTTAATTGCCGACTGTTTATTTTATCATCTCTGATTGGGAATTTCAATTTCTTAAGAAAATTATATAAAAATACAATTAACGTGAAAAAACTTTAATTTATGTGATAAATGATACTGGTATGTGTTAATGAAAAGCGTAATTTATAGATGACATATTGTTTTATTGCTTTCATTAACTAAACAGCGTTTTTCCTCCAAAGTAGATTCATTACCTTTTCCCAACTATGCTATTCTATATCCCCAAAGGTACCAATTTACTTTTAAATATAGAATAATAGTAACTTTTAAATATAGAATAACTGAACTCTGAAGTTCATCAATATAATTTGCGATATAAGCGCTTAATTGGTGATGAAAGAACCGCTAAATTGAACACGTGAACAATTCTTATGTGAATCAATAAAACAACGCCTAAATTCATTGGGAATATAATTTCGTTTTTAATTAAAAACTCTGCGTGCTTATAAGAAATAAACTGAACATAGATGTGCATTACCAAATCTCTACTAATCCTCAATTTGATAATGTTGCCTTTGGGGACGTTTATTGCTTCGCTGGAGGAACCCTGACCGGTAAAGGTGGAGGAGGAACATCCGGAATTTCAGGGTTTCTTTTAAGATTAGCGATGACTTTCTTTGGATCATTTTCCGTCTGTCCCAATGCAGAATAGCTGTCCGGAACGGCAGAACCTTTCACCCCTCCATTTTGAAGGTATTCACTATAGTTTAGTGGGTGATCAGCATTTTGTCCCTGGTTTTCCCCATCGTTTGACTTTTTGAGCTCCGAATCCTTTTTAAACAAAACGTGTTTCATGCATGATTATTTGTTACTTTATGAAAGTACTTACTGCAGACAAGGGCACTGGATAGGGGCCATTTTGAGATGCGACATTTTTATCTTCGATTAGTGGAGCATCAAGTTTTCTATACCCAGAATATTCGGGATTGATCTAAAATATGTATACAGTAAAAATATGTGTTATTTGCCGGTTTTGTTAACCCACACCGGGATTTCTTCATGATAAACAAGTCAACAATTCGCGTTGTTATCACTACTTACGTAGCTGCTACTATAAGATGGTACAAATGGGTTCGGGTAGAGCCAAGATGGAAATGCATATCCTATTGAAGTCGTTCTGAGCACAGGTTCATAAACAGGTTGGGCGTGACTAGGTGACAAATTCTTGTTAGAAGTTATGAGTACATTATAAATCCTCGGAGATCTGGGATCAGCTTTACAACTTACGAATAATACTGCTAGGATTATCAGTCTAATCATGGTTCTGAAACAATGTGCTCAATTTTAGCGACAAGATGAATGACTGATTTAAAATTCTAAATATTTCACAAATTAAAAAATATATGAATCGTTCCACATGTTTTAAACATGTTATACATATTTTATTAAATAGCGCAACATAGTGGTAAGTAGATTTGGTCAAATATGTCTTTTTAATTTAAACACTTTGTTGTTATTTATGAGCTCAGTTGCATATTAAAAAAAATACCTACCTATAACTAATATCATGCAAAATTACCATAATGTTTACCAGGAGTTGCGAAACTTTACAAACAAGTGCACAATAATTTATCTTCACTGATCACGATCTTCCGCAAAACTGGAAGTAAAAGGTCAATATAACTTATCGTGGAAGGAAAAGACTAATCAATTAAAAGTACCCGCTGATTGCCGACAAGTGAATTAAATAAAGCATGAGTTCTGTATGACCTTCACCTTTCAGCAAAAGATACATACATGTTCATTTTTTTCATATACCAAAGTTTTGTAGCAATTGCAAACAGCTTAAAGAAAACCTTACTGATATATTGTATGTAGAGCCAACGATTTCCTTTTTCAACCTTGGAAAATTTACGGACATATTTAAAGATCTGATAATAAACACATATCTTCAGGGTAATTATTTTATTGTTTTGCTTCTAATATCCAACGTTTGACTCTCTCAGAAAGTATTAAAATAGATTCAACAGTCCAAGTACATTTGAAATTATGAAATTTACGTTGTGTATATAAGTAAACTATTAATCTTAGAACCTCGTTCATCCATAAATCCATCATTATTTGATGCTATTAGAAATCACATAATATGTATTTAAAAGTGTAAAGTTGGTTAAGAAATATCCTCTTTTTGTTTAATGGCTTTTGTAATTGTATGAACTAGACAGCCTAATTCAGCCGCGTTTTAAAACCTACACGAATTAGCAAGTTTAATGTAAAATTCAGCAAAAAAAAAAATTACAACCTAAATATCGATTTCATTTTTCAAATAAATAAAAAAGAATACATAAAATTATGAAATTTCCATTATGTGTATAAGTACCCTAATAATTTTACACTTTGTTTATCCATAAAGCCATCATTATTTGATGCCATTCAGAATTGCATAATATTTGAAAGTATATTCTTGTTTTGTTTGAGATATTTGGGATGATTCGAATTGATTCTCTAATCCTGTGAATTTGAATATCAAATGGTAATGTCAAAAATTGTGATATTTTCAACATTAATAAAAACTCAGCAAAACAAAAAAGAAGAATATTAATTGTTTATATGGATTCAAGAGTCCGAGTAGGTAAGTACATTTAATATTATGAAATGCACAATGTTTGTAAAGTTATCATTAGGAAATGGTATTAAAAATTGCGTAAAACCTATTTAAAGTTAAAGAGTAATTTTTCTTACGAAATATATTATTTTTATTAAAAGAGAGTTTAGTTGATGGATTTCGCGGCCATTCCTTGAAATTGGTGTGTTTTTCGTGATTTTAGGCCGTCGTGAATTAGAATGTCTTCCTTACATTGTACGGAGGTAGTTTTCGAGCAAACCACCTGCTCTGAAGGTGTGTTTGTGCTTCCAAAACTTCAGGAAGAAAGTCTAATTTGGCACGGCCTATAAACATGAAAAATTCACCATCTCATTGTATTTTTATCCAATTGCTTCTGGATGAAGTAATATTATTTTAAACTAATGAAAAACCCAGTAGATTTGAATATACTTAAATCTTTTCAAAGTAAAATAACAACCTGAATATTTGTTGCAATTTTCGCTTCTCCTTGCCAATTTTCTAATAAATTCTGGCATTCAAGTATGTACAATTAATATGACCAAATTTGACGTGTTCGTAAAGTACACTATTAATCTTAATCATTGTTCACCCATAAACTAAGCATTATTTGTAGCTATTCAAGATGACATAATATATAGTATATTTAAGAATGTAGAGTAATTTTACTGCCGCTAATGAATGGCACGAATTAAATTACAAATTAAAATAATAATTTAGATGAATGAAAAACTCCGCAATACCGAATAAGAATCTTTTTAATGAAAATTAATTGCTTTATTTTTAAAATAAACAAATGTTTTTTAATTTCAAAATGTAATATTAAGAACATGCCTAGCATATAGAGAAATGTAACACTATTGGCTTTCACCAGAATTATACAATTTTAATAAGCAACAGCCATAATTTTAATAGTAAGCGTACATACCTGAGCTTGGTATTAAGTTACCAGTAATTGGGATATTACATTACATACTAAAAATATATATTCATGGACCACGGTAAGTAATATTATAACTGATTGCAATCAAAGACACTCCCACCTTTAGTGTAGGAAACTAACAAGTGTAGGCAAAGTAAGAATAATAATCAGAATCATTTCCGCTGACAATTTTGGTAATTTCAATAAGCACTTGAGTGAACTTTCGCACAATGAATTCGATTATTCCAAAGTAAAATGTGTTCAGCGCACCTTAACTCAACTGAAGAGTATTAGTTTGGAAAAGCATTTCACTAGACAGTCACCACCAAAAATTGAACTTTTTACATACTTTTTAATTACAAATGGTCTACCTTGACGCAGGTCAATTTGCATTCGGAATTTAATTGGTTGAATTGGATCGGACGCAAATTCTCTTTCAAACTAACCAGCGCGTTTCACGGTTCACTAAATTCACCACAGCAACTTCACACAAAATAACAATTGGCGCTATACTGTGCGAAAAAAATATATCGTTTACCTTGTATACATTATTGGTGTCGAGTCACAACGTTAAATAATCGCCTTGATAGAAATAAGATATATATCCACCAGGCTCCTTGCATTTAATGTACTTCTTAAATTTACTGTCTAGAACATGCCCATAATTAGTTGCAAATCTATGTCTCATTCCTTCTTTTATTTATAAAATGTACAACTTGCTTTATATATCAACCGGTGGCGAGGCTTGAAGAGAATCAGGTAGCAGCTATGTGCCTTGGCATTTATACATTTCTATAAGACATTATATCACTGCTAGATCGATATTTAAAGATATTATACCATCCATGAAAAAATACAGTTTTATAAAAAAAATTGTCATATTTTTACTATTAATTTCAACCGAAACCAGTACCTTGTTCAAGGATCCGACAAACTTGACCTATTTTATTTTATGTGACTGCATCTACAATTTTATAAACTGTATTACTATACCCAATACAAAGAGAAATCCCTTCACTTTTACCTGCCAAAACCTTGCTCATGAGCAAGGTACGGGCAATTAAAATTATATTATGTTACCATATAAATGCAAAATAGTTAAAGTAATGTTCAGGAATGCTCTTACACGCATGTTCTGAATATTTTCTTCATTGGTCATGTTATTTACTTATATTGTCATTAATTAGCTTGTAATATGCCTGCATACGCATTGATTGTTGATGGTGGTTATACAGTCAAAGAATAATATAATCGTATCTGTTTAAAATACTTGAAACGCTCGCATCGATTTTAACTGAACAATTACTTTTATGCAAAATATATGTAAATTTTTTATGACTGTTTAAATGCTCTGGTTTTAATACATTTAACTTCAATATTAAGAAATTCCTTTCTGTTGCATAGCAGTTTTAAATCGAAGGTTCTCCAAAAGCACCCACCCTTTAAAGGAATATTTATTATTATAACCCCGGTTTATTTTTTTTTCATATTTGTAATATTTTTACCCTACATGCTTTTTATAATTTAGCTTATTCAAAAACTGTTTCGAAAATCTTAGCAGTGATTGAACGTGTAAGTGGAACCAGACAGTATTTTCCGATATTTCAAAAATTGACTAGAAATCAATCAAGTTCAATGAAAATACGGTCCAATCCAAGCTTTTAACCACATCGTTATCGAGTGTTTTTGAATGTTGATTTCGGAATTTGGTTTCCTTGATATTAGAAAAAAATCCGTTGCGAAACAAACTTTTTTAAACTAGGCTGAGCGAAAATGCATTTTAAATAACTGCTTTCTTTTATCCCATCTGTGTCAAAAACTTGTCTATTTTCTACAGGAGCATTTTCACTCATATCAGGAGAATTGCCCAATACAATGATACAGTTACGAAATTGCAACAATTACCATAAAATAGTAGCATACATGTACCAATTACAGTGGGTGGTATATCAGTGTCAATCTATGAGAACATGTTTTCTTGCTGCACCAATACACCTGTTGGACCCTGAATAATAGCAAATAATAATTACAGTGTTTTATGAAACTTCTTTTTTTTAACTCATCTAAATCCCTACTCTTCTTATTGGCATGAATGTTTCCGATATGAATCTAGAATTTTTAAAGTGGCTATATACTTACTGGTAATTGATATGCGTTTTTATTTTATTATTGAAACGTTATTAGGAATTTCCGGAAATGTATTTGAAAATTACTTTCAATGGACAATCAAGGAGTTGCTGGTCAGTTTACGAAAATACTTTAAATTTTATAACATTTAGAACCAATAAATCGTATACTTACGTAACATGTGCCTGCACATTTTAAAAGCGGCTTAAAAAACGATGCCCAAGCCGATTAAAAATTTGACTAAAAACTAAGGCTTACCTAGAATTGTTTTTGCGAATTTTCCAAAATTTTACTGTTTCTTGCGGTTTTAGCAGTCTAGAATGTAATACACAGCACCCTTCAGACGCTCCTTTCCAAGTTCCAAACAAATACACAAAAATGATCAAGCTAAATTTTTACCACAACACTATCAAACAAATCTTAACAATATTGATGCTAAATAGCGAAATATTTATTCATTAATTCATGTTGTTCTATGTAAGAGTGATATTCTTTTATGAGAAAAATCAACAATTTTTCAGCAAAACGCCTTAGGAAGTTCTTCAGCAACCAATTAAATTCAAGACCAATGTTGTCAGCTTGGTCGCATTTAATTTATTTTTGCCCGAAATGCGCTTTTCTTGTTATCAAAAATCAGTGAAAAGGACTGTTTGCAATTTAATCATACTTCTTTGAAGCCGTTTCGGATATTTTGATCATTACAGTTGTTTCAGATTCCCGTCCACTTAACGTCTCTCATTTCTTTAAATTCACTGAATCTCGGGGCATCGTTCATTTTCTGCACCTTTTTATTTACTACTCTTTGGCAACTTCAACAGTTCCATTATCATCCAATAGTGGATTCTTCCAATTACTCTGTAAAGGCAAGAGAAAAATATTGCAACAAAAAAGAGAAGGCTTTATCTATCAACGAAATATAATTATAGACAAACTGCATATACAGGCTGTCCGGAAAGGGTGCCACCAACACTTGACGAGGCAACTCTAGAGCAAAAATGAGTGTGACAAGTTCTTTTGCAACAACAACACCTTTGAAAAAACGCAATAATAATGGATCTACAGGGCGTTAAAGTTCCCAGTCTCACTCGGTGCTGTCCCTGTCTTCAGGCGTGAGCTATCCTCATGACAATTTGGCGTAACATTCCTCTATCCTCTTCTGCTCGGAACAGCTGCTCCACTCCAAAGCCAGTCCAAGTTCTTATGTTTCGCAGCCGTGATAGCTTTTTGCGGCCTATCCATCTTCTGCCCTCAATCTTTCCCTGGATAATCAGACGGGGAATGTGATACCTCACATTATATGTCCAAAGCAGCTGACCTTTCTTGTTTTTATAGTATTTAGGAGTTCCCGGCCTTTGTCTAGCTGTTCGAGAACTTCCTCATTGCTGGTGTGTGTAGTCCAAGATTCTCCGATAACACCACATTTCAAAGACTTCTATTTTATTTATGATGTCGATCTTAAGCGTCCATGTCTCACATCCGTACAGAAAAATGCTTCATATGTAACCGCGAATTGTTAGCCGCGTTTGTACTGAAAGGTTTCTGGTGGTAAAAGTGATTTTGCATTTACCAAACGCCCTGCGTACCATTTCTCTCTTACCTGCTCGATGTTGTGTTCATTGATTGTGATCGGGATTGGTTCTATGTTTATTTTACCCATTGCCATCCACTTCGTTTTTTTCATGTTTATGTTAGTTCCCCATCCTCATCGTCCAGCCTCGTACACTATTTAGCAGCATCTGCAAGTCATCCATAGATTCTGCAATGACGGCGGTGTCATCTGCGTACCTGATGTTGTTTACAACTTCGCCTCCTATCTTTGCTCTCTCCGTCCTACCATATAAGGCCTCGTAAAATATGTTTTCGGAGTAGAGGTTGAATAATATCGGCGTCAAAACACACCCCTGTTTTACACCGCGTCTTATTGCTATATCGTCAATGACGTTGTCCTTCAGCCTGACTGCACCCGTCTGGTTGTAATACAGGTTTATCAAAAGACGCATATCATAATTGTCTACATTGCATGACTTTAGATATTGCAAGAATTTTGTGTGTTCGACTCGATCGAACTCTGATTCGAAGTCCATAAAACATACATAAATGTTTTTTTAGTTATACAGAGTGTCCCGAAATTAGGTGGCCAAAGTGAAACAGGGAAATCTGCTCTCAAAAATTATATTAATTTTTAAAACGAACATGTATCGAAAAATGCTCCCTAACGGAGATACGCCTTCTTGGAGAGGAGCCTAGTAGTAGGGCTTTTTGCAAATTATTTCCAAACGGTTGAACTGCAAAACGTAAATTTTAGAAACTTTAGTAATTTTGATATGCTGAATCTAGATCTGAAATTTAAACTGTCAGAATTTCATCATAGACTTGGGGGCATTGACATTTGGGGGGGTAGAAGTACAAAAAAGCCCTAACTTTTTTCTGAGACTATAAATAAATCTTATTTTAACAAATTGTGGAAGGGTTCTTCAAACTTCCTCAAACATTAGCGTGCAGGCTGTTTAGAAGAATGCCTATTGCAAATTTCAAAAAAAAGTTAGTATCAAAAAAAGGGATCAAAAGTTACCATCTTCGCTTTAAAAATGACTCTAAGCCAGAACGCGGTTTTACTGGCTGTGACGTCAAAGGGTAGAGTTCCTACGCTATTTATATGGCCATAACAAGCACAGATAAGCAGCATGTACATTTGCATATTGCATGTGAGCAAACTAAGGGTTTTTATGACATAAATTCAATCACAGATGAAATATAAAATAATAAAGCTTGTTTGTTTGAATTGCTAAATAAAGCTTGTTTGACTGGATCTTCCGGCTTCTGAATTTCAATTTCTAAACAATCGAGGGCATAAAACATCATCTAGAACATTTTGCCGTTTGGCTTGTTATTAGTGAGAAAATGTTACGGAATTTTCGATTTTTTTGATGTCTAAAATGGTCATCTGGTTATGTGTTTACTCCATGGCTCTATCTCTATATCTGTAGACCTTTTGCATAGGGGACACTTTCTCGACTAGTTTCTTCCCTTGAGGCGAATCGAAAAAATTTGCTGCGTTGCATTATTTGGCGAATTATGGTTTTGAAGGTTTGGTGAATGAAAATTCGCGTATCTGAATAATAATAATCTTAAGCAAAATATTGATTGCACACACCATTCTTGTAAATTAAGGTGAATGAGAGGCGATTAAAGAATAATTTTTAACTGCCCCGTAATCAAATAATGATTCACTGGTTGCGATAGATGAACACTTTCTCGAACTGGAAATTGGTTAATCTCAATTGCACCAATTTTATTTGGCTGTATGTACTTAAAAGAGCTTGTTAGGTACATTTTATGAGAATAGATCATCGGCATAATTCTATTTGATTTAGTAACTAAGGTGAGAGATAAAAACACGAAATAACCGTTTTTTTTTTATTAGAAAACACTTAATTAATTTGTCTTTTGAGAAAGAAAGGAACATAAATAGTGTGTACAAAAACGTACATAATACTGATTTTGAATCTAAAATTATGCCCTAACTTAACTAGGAAATAAATATTTTCTTAGCCACTAATATTTCGGATCTGCCTACTTAAAAGTAAATAAATAAATAAATAATATTTACAAGCTTAGAGCACATAGTTTACATGATAAATAATATAGATGTAATGTCGTACACGCCATTGTAAAAACATTTCCCATTGCAATTGACATATGAACTTTTCTAAAAGCCTGGTGAATTTTTACATAGTGCGGGCACTTTAGAAGTTTTCCAGGTTCAAGTTTTCCTACTTCTAAACCGATTCCGGCTTCTTTTTCGATCGCAATTTTGGTAGACATTAGGGCAAGTAGCGGCGGAGTCAAGTAGAGGAAAATCACCAATTCAGTGAGAAAGCAAAGGGTCATTGCAAACGCCTGTAACAAAAAAAAACGTTAAAATAGGAAAGATTCCAATAACTCTCTAATTATAAATAATATGTTCAAACTAAAAACGGTACGTGGATATAGGCGAATATATTTACCTGAACTCCAATTTCCATAGTGTTAAGTTCATTTTTCTTGACTCTTAAGAAGACGGCCAAAGTTATGAGACTGAGGAGAGCATTCAGCAAGAAATACTTTGGAAAAAGTACTTTCTGCACACTTCCAAAGGTATGTCGAGGCAAGGAGAAATAAAGAGCCAATCCGGACACAAAAGTCATCCAAATTTGGGCTCCAAAGTGCGCACTGAAGGAGCCTAAATATACTAGGGTCCATAGCGGCGACAAAGTTGCAACTGTTGATTTATTAGATAGGCAAAGAAATGCTACGTAAAGCACTGCCAGAGACGTGACTAAATGGGCTGGCTGGGTGGTATGGCATAAAATTCTGAAACAAAAAAGGGTAATGTGAAACGTGCAGTTTATCATGTTGTTCGTTATCTCTGACTTGGAAAATCAAATTCTTTAAGTTTATAGTCTATTAGTCCCATTGATCATCAGGATTAAAGTGCTAATGTTTTGTTAATCCAAAGCTCAATTATTATTATAAAAGCAGTACAATTGAAAAATTATGTTATTTTGCACTTTCTCCTAAAACGATCTACTTCTTATGAGAACATTTATATACATAAATTATTGCATTGCATATTTTATTAGACTTGAAACATTTCTTGAAAATCATTCGTTGCCACCAGTAACATATTTATAGTTATTATTTATAGCTGTATAAATTAATATTGACGTCAATTAAAGACCCCTTTATTGCTTATGCATATTAATTGTTTTTTGGTTTGTGTAACAACCACTTTGTTTTTGGTACAGGCAATGTCTTATTTTTGCAAACTAAATTAGTATGTCGAAACATTTACGATTCGTTGTGGGTTAAAGAATATTTTTTTGTAAATTTGTGAGTTAATGTTAGAAGCAATATTTTACCTATATGCCGTGGTATCACTAAGAGACTTAACGTAATCACTTAAAGTAAAAAGCGCTTCTTTGGTCCAAATAGTCATCACAGCTAACGCATCCTGAGATAACACCGCATCTTCTTTTAAAGTATTTCCATTTTTTTCAGGAAATACCTTTTCAATTACAGCTGGCACTTGAATTGAATTATCTACTTTCAACATCGTTGGATACTTTTCAACCTCAATTTCACTATTAGGAACTCTTCCAACACACATTTTTTGAAATTGTCTGGTAATATTGAAAAGTCGCAATCGATCACTTAAGTCAAATTTGCGCACGACAAAAAGCTTTTATTGTACCTGTACACAGATACGTAACAACTCAAACTCGTGTTCGATTTTAGTTTTATCTGTTTTATATTCGAAATTTCCCCTACTCTTTTGCCAATAGGCAGGAGAGTGTGCATCGATACAGACTCCTTAAGTGCCTCAGAAACAGTAAGTTATTTTAAATTAAATAACTTGCACACACTGCAGCAATGCGCCCATGTGTGTAAATATTTTAATGAGTTTTGCTAAACCATAATGCGTTTTATCCGTTTTTAACAAGATATAATTTTGCGTATTAATACGCAGATTTTCATAATTTTCATTTAAAAAGTACATGTCCCCAAAAGATGTAGACGTGCATAATTTAATTTTTGATGATTCGATAAATAAAGGAATGAGAACTATTTTCTGACAAGCATTGCATTCATAATTTGCACATTTTTTTACGGAAACCGTATATATTTTTACGGCAGTATTATGTATTCTCACATCCCATTTTAGCTTTACTTAACTCGCTCTTCTGGTATCTCGCCTTCAATGGCTTGGAAGCAAGAATTAGCTCACTTTCCTTATTACCAATCAATTGATATTCCGTTTTACTTTCGGAAAAGTGATTAAGCTTTAATACTCATGTTAAGGTTGAATTAATTATTTAGTCTTTATACAGTTATTTTTATAAATCCGTTCTTATGCTTAGCAAATATAAGTGAAAGAAGCATAATTCCTTAAACCGATGAAACACTACTCAAGTTTTCGTCAATCAAGATCTATTAATATAAATAATTATTAGTTTAAGACAAAAAAATAGTTGGTAGGTGCCAGCATAACATTTACTTGCATAAAAAATAATTTAGCGAGAATGGAAGCAAACGTTTCGAGTTAAAAGTGCACATTTCGATGCAGGAATTCGATAGCTCATCTCTACTCAAATGCCGATTGAAAAGGTAGTATAATTTTACGCGAATTTTTTTTAACACTACGAAATGCACGGGGTCTTGCGAATGATGACACTTTATTAGCGTCACGATGTTTTGAAAAGTGAATGAAAATCATGAGTTGTTTTTGGATTTTCTCCAAATTGCCAGACCCATTTTTTATAGCTTTTGCAACATGGAATTATTTTTTACAATCTGACTCATGCAAAACTGTTAATATTCCGTCAATTCTATTATCGCAATATTTTGCACAAGCAAATGGTTTAGTCCATATATGGAAATTGGGCCAAAGTAATAAATATTGGATACGACTTTCCTAAATTGCCAGTGCGCACACAAAGATGTTCAAATGCGTAAAACCTTAGCAAATATTTCCTGATGCGTCTATGGAATTTTTACAGTAATTGCATACTATGACGCAAATAATGTCAAAAACAATGCAAAAAATTGATATTTGTTGATGGATTTTTCGGGACCCAAAACATACCGAATGTCGGAGCTCTCCATACAATTTGATAAAACATTCGTCACTGATTTTTAGATATGTATATCTGTTCGATTAATAAACGATTGAAGCCTCCAACATTTTCCAATGCGTCGACATTTAGGAAAATTTTAATTGCAGAACGTAAATATATTTTACGTATGTACCGCATAAGTTTGTTCTAATCAAGTAATCAGACAAAACAAGAAAACATCAAAATACAAAACATGGAATTCAAAATCATGTAAGTTTGCGTCATGTAATGACCGCAGTCATTGTCCAATTTCCGTCTTAGGAAATGTATGTCCTTCCATGAATTTATTTGAGAAAATCATACTGAATAACATATTCGTGTTTACCGAAATCCATCAGTGGTCATCAAAAAACCTATTAGCCAGCAGAAGAAGGAAAAAATATAAAAATACAGTTGCTCACAGTTTTCAACGAGATTTAATAGTTTTAAATTATTTTTATAAAAACAGAGGCTTTATGAAAGTTATTTGATTAGAACTTGATTTAATTCAAATAATTCAGCATGTTTCGTTGGATATCTAACGATCCTTGAGCAAGACTAAATTGGCATTTAAAATATCCTTCATTAATCATATATTTTTAAAAATAAATCCTCGTCAAACACCTACACATTTAGACATTCCGATAAAACTGCAGTTATAGCAGTGGTTCCATTTGAAGTATCAATTAACTATTACGAAAAAATCAATACGCCAATGTAACTGTGGAATCAAATTGACCTTTAGCAAATAGTTGTAAAATAAAATACGTCATATTTGCAAAACCGGGCTTTTTTGTCGATCAGACGGATATAAACTAATCAGAAACTTCCCAAGTCTCAAATAATTACATTTTGCACGTACGCCAATGTAATAGCGCAAAGACAAATATCCGTGATTATACGTAACAAATCCACTCATTAATTTATAATATTGACGCCTAATTAACAGATTAAACCTTAAAGTTATTATTAATTTTTTTTAGGATCTGCTCTCTCGCGCACGAAAAAATATATGTGGAGGCAACTATTAGCTTTAAAATGCTTTTAAAAAATATATGTTTCTAAATATTAATTTTGCAATTTTTTGCAATTATAACTAAATGAGACTCCAAGGGGCTGAATTGATTCCATTGAAAGTAAAATGTACATCCACATAGACTTACTCCAATTTTCATCAATTTACAATTTAACTGATTCAAATTGAATTGTGCATTTCACCTCAAAAAAGTTATTTTACTATTTTCGCAAACGATGTAATAATTTCCATTAAATATGGTAATTCACAGTATAAAAAGAAATTTATTATTTAGTAGTCGCCTAAAGCGCTTCTGCAATTTCTAACGCTGTTTGATTTAATAATGAAATTCGAAAACAGACATTGCGAAATAACCTACTGTATACTGGTTGATTAGAAATGGTTGTTAAAAAGTGTTTAATTTTAGAAATCATGATTGCTTGGGCGTTTTCTCTTGTTTATTTTATATTTGCAGTGATTTGCACTTGTTACTATGAATAGCAACAAGAAAACCAGGCTGGTTTTATTTAGATACTACTATTCTAAATGAGCAAATTCAGTCAACCTTAGAATTTTGTGGGCTTTTAAAACCACCCAAATATTTCTTAGTTGCTGCTTTTATAGACTACTAACGTTGTTTATAAAATGTTCAATATTTTCATAGTTTTTGTTCGGTCTTTTAGTGTCATTTCTTAGTTTTGCATTTGCATCGAAATAACTGGACCGATTAAAAAACGAATTAATGACCTGCTGCATTTATCGGCGGTTTTTACCCGTCTGGGTTTTACGTATATGGTGGTCGAATGGCCATCGAACTGCACATTTTCATTTTGGATGGGTGAATGCAGACTCGCCTTATGGATTTAACGGTATTAACAAAATATGATAGATAACCAATATTTCTTTCTTCTGAAATAAGCCATCAACCCAATCGATGTTTCTGTCCTTATTATTAATTTTTTTGCAAGTATTTCTCTGTTGTAAGTATGTATATTCATAGCATTTGGAAATAATTAAACTAAAGCCAAAATGTGGATTAATTTATATTAAATTATATATTGATGCTCTACATTTGCACACAGATTTTTCATTCAAAGAGTGACATAAATTATGGATTAATTAGTACTTAAATTGTGTTAATAGTTAGAGAGGTCACATCAGTTCATTTTTATTTATTTATGAATAGACTTACTAAGAAGATTTACATCGGCATTGAACTTTAAGTTTCAATATTTGTTTATTACGTAGGGCAATATTCGGTTCTTTTATTTTTTTTAAATCTATTGACCACCGCGATATGACTCACAAACTACGAAGGCTTGGCGCATTGAATCGTTTTCAATTATACTGCCATCAACTTAATATTGATTTATCATTATTATCTTGTCCAAATATGGAGCCTTGTTAATTATATGTTAAATTAATAAAACAGTAATTAATGAAATTGATACCAATCAGAAAAGAAGGTAGCGCTAGCAATAGAGAATTGTCATAAACTGGGGGTATTACGAGGCAGGACATATGTTAAACTAGGTTTATATTTAAGTAAAAGTCGTTATATATTCTGTTTCATCTACTAAATTTTCTTGGTATGTTGAAATCAACAGCATCATTGTTTAGGTTTTAATATCTTGAATGCAATTGTTTTAAGTACCCACATCCTAAATTAACAGAGTAAACTCGAACATGGCTGTGGAACATATTGCCAATTTGTATCATTATGTAGTTAACAATGCTATTTTTAAAATAAGGGAAATATTAAATAATGTTGTCGTGCTATGGCCTAATTATAGTTTCTAAATTAATTAGACATGAGGCCTGTTGTGAAAGATGGCTCAACATTGGTCGAATCACGTTTGGTCACGTAGCTCCATTTTCGGCAGAAGTATTTTGTTCCGAATATCATAGCAGGTGACCCATGAGTAAGAATTTTGGAATTTATAATCTGAATATTTGGCAATTGCATTAATCTTTTTTTCTGAAAAGTGAGTGGTGAACAGCAAACGTTTCCTTTATCAGAACAATAATAGGTATCTGTTGACAATTGGTAATTTTGGGAATTTTATTCGCATTATTCAATAAATATCTCATCTCATAAAATATGAGTTAATATAATATTATTTTCTCTAAATGCCTGACCATCTACAATCACGAGTACGTACTCGTACACGTTTCAGATACCAATATTTTTCCACATTAGTATAAATTACGATTACTTTTGACTCAACTAATTTTATCTCCTTCGCGACAACACAATTGTAAAATGCTTTACAATAGAAAAGTGTGTGCGTTTTGCAGGCTCTTCGTGAAGATTTTTTGAGCTTAAAAATGTATATATTTTATAAAGTTGCTAATTAACACACTCTTAAATTTAGACAGTGTTTAAGACCTATTTCGTTGCACATTTTTAGCATTATGAAAATTCTTTGTTTGTCATTTATTGATAACTATGAATGTTCTACTATCTGCAGAACAATGCACTAATATGTGCCAGACTAGAAGATTAACTTAATTTATGAAAGTAGTCCATTATAAAGATCATTGAGTGAATTATAAGATCATATTGAAATGTTGTGTGGTTATTGCTATGATAATAATGTAAGGATTATTTATTACCGGTGTATAATTTCCTAT